AGAGAGAGAGAGAGAGAGAGAGAGAGAGAGAGAGAGAGAGAGAGAGGTTCTACAGATGTATACTATCGATGATATGTTAAAATTAATGATCAAAAACAAGGCAAACCTTTTGTTACGATCGGAACACTTGCGGTGATTGTTAAACACCTGTCCGTTGGAATAGCCGTTGCCTACAACTGGAGCGCTGGCCGCAGCGCAGGCCGACAGCGCCGCTCCGTCCGTGTGATCACTATTATTAAACATATATTTCATTTGTCCGTCACTTTGTAAACCACTATTAGGTCCGCGAGTGAAGCACTCATTACTACCACTATTACTAGTATTTGAAAAACTAAAACCACCGCTATTTTGCTGGTGAGAGTCCGCGGCCGCTGAGGCCGGCGCTGAGTTGGAACCGCTGCTCTTCACAAAAAACGTATTGAAACAGAACTGAAAGATCTTCTCTTTCGTTAACTTATTTTTAATATAAAACTCCACTTTAATGTCACCGCGAAGTACGACATCGTCGGTGAGGGCGTAGTGCAGGAACTTTGAGCCCTTCTTCACATCGATTTCCAGCGATTTTAACTTCTGTTTCGGCAATTGAATGATTTCGCACAACAGGACAATAGCGCCGCCGTTGTAGATGGGAATCGTCGACAGAGCGATGGCCGTCAGCCGCAACGGTTCCGACTGATACCGGAGGCCCTGTTTGACTAGTTCTTCGTAGTAATAGACGTACCGCTTCTGACTCGGTATCGTCACGCCCTTCATGTCGTGCGTCCGGTGGCGGCCGTAATACTCGAGCGCTTTGTCGCCGCTGGAGATCTTCACGGTATCGCCGCCGTCGCTGATGTCACACTCGCCGGCGTGGATCAGGTACGCGCATATCATCACTCCGGTCCGGCCTTTGCCCGCTTTGCAGTGAATGGCGATCACGTTGTTTGGGTCGGCGGTCAGCCATCGGTGCACGTCTTCGCAGAAGGGCTGCAAGAGTTCAAACGGCGGCGGATTGTGGTCCTGGAAGGCGTACTCTTCGATCACTTTACACCCGAACTTAGTCGTGTCGTATCGGCGCTTGGATTCGGCGCACAGATTGTAGATCTGATAATTGTTACGGTGTTTGGTCTCGAAGAAGCGCACGACGTCGTCGATGTGGTTCCGGTAGAACCGCTCCAACGTCTCCGCCGGGAAACCCATCGCTATTATGTTTCGCGAGATATCTGTCGCACAAGAAATGCATAGAAAAATATATATTTAATTAAAGACAATTGAGTTATCGTTTGGCTAATCGTTAGCCACAATCGCGAGTGCTTTGAGAGTAAAACATATTGTAATCTCTAAAACAAAAATCAATTGTATTCGCGATTCAATGCATATTAAGCTCATTATTGAGGCAAATGTTTGGTTGCATTGAAATTGCATTCACGGGCCGTGCGTTTGGGCCACCCGTTGATCGTTGGCCTGCATTTGGGTTCGGGAGGGAGAGAGAGACAAGTACTGAGACTCACATGAGAGGTCGAGATCAAAGCCGCCGGCTTTGTATCTGATCTTGTTTTTGCTGACCATCCCTTTGATCGCCGCCGCCATACTTTCCACAAGTCTTTTGATAATAATTGCCAACAAATGGGTGCCTATCGGTGCCCAAGAAGACCACGAGAGCGATAATGATTGGGAGAGAGAGAGAGACAACAAAAATTAAAATTACATATTAAATGAGTGGAGAGAAAGAGGGAGAGAGTGAGACAATTAGTACAGGAATTGGTGTTTGTGTTTGTCATTACGACAATTGAATTAAACGCCAAACGG